TCTTTGCCTGAATAGGAGGAGGGGTAACAGTAACAGAACTTCCTTTGCCTACAAAGTGCAAGGAGGTGTAAGTACCTCTTAGTTACCAATCCAGTAAGGTTTTGTGCCTCTGAAATACATCCATACTCACAAAAATGTGGGAAAAAAGTCAGTAACACAAGCACAAGCAGTTACTACATCCAGTGTGATAAAATGGAAGAAAATAAGTCTTAGTCTTTTTTTATCCAAGTGTTGCCCTGCACAGTAATAAAGAAGAGGATCCATGGACTTCTCTCAAGTAAAGCTCATAATTTCAGGGGTTCTGTTGTGGTGTTTCCCCTGCCGTGGGTGTCCCAGTTGTCACTGCAGCAGTTTATAAGGAGTTGTGTTTTGCAATGCAGAGAGTGGAAGATGCTTTTTATACATTGGTGCGAGAGATTCGCCAGTACAGAGTGAGAAAACTCAGCAAAGAAGAAAAGACTCCAGGGTGTGTGAAAATTAAAAAATGTCTTGTAATGTGACAGGGTAAGTTCTGTGATGCAACAAGGGAAGTGCTACAAATCACTTGCCAAAGGAAAATGATTGATGATGGTTTGCAAATCAGACTCTGGTTAATCGGTGGCCTAATTTAAGATGTGAACCCAGTAAGAGTTCAGTGTCCTGAATAACATTCCTAGCAAACACTCAGGTGCTATGGATTGGCTTATTTCCATGGGGTTTTGATAAATGGGTTAACAAGAAGTCATTACTGTATATCAAATTCTCCATCTGTGAAATGGAGAGAGTTTGGAGCATGAAGAAGCTAAGAGCAAACACTTATTGCAGATGCTGTTGAAATGAATATTCATTGACTCTTCAGGTTGATGAACTGAGGGGACGAGATTGTAATATTTATAGTCCTCCTCAGATGCAGAAATAGGATGTTCTTAATAAAACAAACCAGTATTTGGCTGGTGTACAGGATTAGTTGATGCTCAGCCTCTTCCTTATGCTATGCCATTTTCCTCTTGTTTTCCCCCAGCTTAAAAAAGTTACTCTTACCATTTCCAGACATGCATTTGTTTTCTGGGGTGTTTTGGTCAACTATAATGCAAATTTGGATAAAATAAGGTTTCACTGTTTTTTGTGTGAATACCTTTACAAGAGGTGCAGGCTAAGCAATATTGAAGTAAAATGAGGAGACAGAGGACTAAACAATAAACAGCAACAAAAAAGCACAAACCCCAATACCAATTCTCATAAAAGAATTTATATCCATATACTCCACTGTAAGAAAAAAGGGAGGAGGAGAGGGCAGAAGAAACTGTGGTATGGAAGAAGTGATTGTCAGTTCACTCCTGGTACTTCAGACTAGCTCCTTGCAGATATTCCTGTCCCATTAATTCTTTGCTTCTTACTACACCAGTGCAGACAGTGGGTTGTTATTCCTTACATACTCATCCAACATGAGGATGACCTGGAATTTCCCGTTGTGTAAAAGAAAAACTGTTCCCTTTTCAAGGTCTTTTTTTATACTTCCGAATATCTTCTAGAGAGGTAGTGGAATTTGATTTGTGTCCTAAGGAGACTGTCAAAACTGCAGGAGTATTCCCTTCAGTAAGGGAGTTTTGTTCCTGTTTCCAGAGGAGGGAGGAGAAATTGTTTCCTATCAGTTTTCACTAGATCTGCTCAGGCTTATTATAGTCTCAGTTTTTAAGTGATTAATGATTGCTCTGAGATAATGATTTAGATTTTTAATGTAAAGACAGTGGTGGAGTCACCATCCCTCAGGTGTTTAAGGAACAACTGGATGTGGCACTTAGTGCTCTGGTCTAGTTGAAATGGTGGTGATCAGTCGCAGGTTGGACTTGGTGATCTTGGAGATCTTTTCCAACCTAAATGATTCTGTGGTTCTGTGACTTTGTGATCCTGTTTGCATTAGAGGTTTCCTTTGCAGGCGACTGAAAACTTCAGTCACAAATACCCACAGTTGTGCATCCAAATATCAACAGACTTGATGCCATCAAAATACCTTGTTTTATTCTTTCCTAGTTGTCAAAAAACAACTGTCAGAAGCTTAGCAAGATGACTTTTGATGAGAGCAGTAGGAATTAGATTGCTTAAACTGACTGCTTCCTGCAGCCTTCTGCAAACCAGCTTTGCTGTTTCTTCATGTCTTACATGTCTTTTACACCAGGGCTTTAAAGATCCTGAGTCCTGTCTGCTTTTCCTTTCTCTGGACTTCTGTGGGAAAAGAAGAACAGGATGGTGGGAATTGTGGTTTTCCTTATTTTTTTATCTTTTAAGATTTCTTTTCATTACTTAGCAAACCTACCAGCTTCCTGCTTTCTGCCTATAGCCAAGAGAAGTATCTTTTGGGAGTTTTTTTCCGCCAGATGGGGGAAATGTTTTGTTAGCAATGGATATTGCTGTGTTTTGGGTGTTTAGAGCTTTTTCCTCCCAAACCCTATTTAAAAATAGTTTTGGATATGACTCTAGAACTCAAGAGTCAGTGAAGAAAACATTTGTCTTCATACTTGAGTTCTACATGGTATTGATAGTCATCTCAGCAGCTTTGTGTTGAGGAAGTTAAGGTGGAGAAAGCATATTCCAAAGTTATTATGGCACAGCTGTAGTTCAGTGGTGATTTGAGTGGAATAGAAATCTGGCATTGAAAAGAGTCTCACTTGTATTTGCAATCAGTAAGAAGACACATTATTTCAGTCTAATGGCTAAGGAGAGCAGCACCTGGTGATGTGAGTCTCACAGCTGCAATTTTAGCCTGCAAATACAGTCACTGTAACACAGTTTGCAACAAGAGTATTCTGTGAACTGTCAGTTTGATGGTTCAGGGTGTTTTGCATCCTCTGGGAAGGCTGTTGCTTCTGTAATGCCTTCTTAGCTGTTCTCTCTGCACAAGGTAACTGTAAACTTGGACGACTCAGGTTGCCATTAAGTTGATGCTTTCCAAGAAGTTAATTCCCATGGCTGTTACAGAACATCTTTTGCTCCATTTGTAGCTTCCAACTACCAAGGAGAAATTTCTAACATTCAGTATAAACTCCTCAAAAGATCTTTCTTGAAAGCATCCAAGTTTTTACATAAAAAGCATATTAACAAAGCTTCTGTAGGGTGTAAATTAGACACCTAGATGATGTAATTCAGGTTGAGCTGGGTTAAAAGTGAAAAGTTTGAATTTAAAAAAGTGCTAGATTTGAATTTTAAAATGTCTAAATTCTTGATTAATACCAATTTAATGATTTTTCCGTAGTAATACAGAGGTGTACAAATAAATTCTCTTCCTCATGACTGATATGTGTGTGTGTATATAGTATTATATATTTAAAACATAAAAAAACAACTTTTCTACAATTAAGAACTTGGTTAAGGATCTATTTTGGAGGCTGGGGTATTAAGGAATTCAGAATTCCTTAGGAATTTGGGGGTTCTTGTTGATAGCTAGGTTAGTTGCCAAGTCTCATGCACACTTGTAATCATGCAGCCACATCTCGAGACTTCCATATAGTCGTGGGACCACATGGTGCTCCCAAGAAAAGCTGTAGCCAGGAGCAGAATGTTCCTGTGGGAAGAGCTCTGACGTTGGTGTTGCCCTTTGGAAAAACGAGTGCCAGGAGCAAAGCTCTGTCAATGCACCTTTATTGAGGCGGTGGGGTGGAGTTCTGAGCAGTGGATTGTGAGTTTCTAATCTGAGCTGGATTTAAAGCCCTCATTCAGGACATCTTAACTTTGCAGAGAGCTTGCACACAATAACTGCATTGTTAGGGGGAGGAAGGTCAGCTGCCTGCAGGCCCTTCTTGCAGAAAGAGCTCACTGGGAAGGTTGACTGCCTTCAGGGACCTTCTGTAAATACAGTAGCCACTAATTACATTTAACATTTAATGGACAGGCTGAAAAGTGGAAGAACTCACTTTATCTTCTTGGTTCTCCACTTCTAACTGACAAATGTTCTAAATGCAGTTTTGTGTGTTGTGTTATATTAATGACCTGAACTTAAGAGGAATTGTGGCAGGACCTAACTACTAAGTACATAATCAATAATTAATGAGGCTTGATCTACAAAGCTGTAGTCCAGAGGAGACCATCAAGTTGATTAGAGGGATGGAGCACCTCTGCTGTGAGGAAAGGCTGAAAGAGTCAGGATTGTTCAGCTTGGAGAACAGAAGGCTTTGGGTAACCTAATCGTGGTCTTCCAGTACCTGAAGGAGCCTACAGAAAAGATGGAGAGAGACTATTTACAAGGGCCTGGAGTGACAGGACAAGGGGAAGTGGCTTCAAACTGACCGAGAGCAGGTTTAGATTGGATATTGGGAAGAAATTCTTACCTGTTAGGGTGGTGAAACACTGGCACAGGTTTCCCAGAGAAGCTGTGGCTGCTCCATCCCTAGAAGTGTTCAGGGCCAGGTTGGATGAGGCTCTGAGCAACCAGTCCCCCATGGCAGGGGATTGGAAATGGGTATCTTTGAGGTCACTTTCAACCCTCAGCATTCTGGGATTCTGTGAAAATATATACTTATGTGAATAAGTATATACTTACACTAAATGTGAAGTATTATTCTCTCTGTATATGTACATACACATATATATACTATACTTTTCCACTTTGAGGGAGGACATATGCCCTCTTGGGGATGGAGAAGAGGACAGTACACACAATATTACTTTCCTTATTAATAATGGAACTTGACCTGTGGGATATCTGTGCTCAACCCCTGAGCAGTAAGTCACCTGCAGGCTGCCTTAGACCCACCCTGGGGATAGCTGAGGAAGGGGGCAGGCAGCAGTTAGCAGCTTGCTACTACTCACATCAAGCTAGTTTGTTCAGGTGGTTCTTTCAGTGCTGCTCAGAACTCGGGAGAGGAATCCTGTAGCCAGGATTCATTGTTCCAACAGTGGCAGGCAGCAACACACCTGCTGACTGAAGCCACGTCACCTGGCAAGCTCAGGTGGACACAGTTTGTACCTCAGCAGATGTGCCAGTGTGTTAATTTGGTCCTAATGTCTCCATGTTTGTACCTTTTCAGGGTGTTGATGATGCCTTCTACACATTAGTTCGTGAAATCAGAAAACACAAAGAGAAGATGAGCAAAGATGGTAAAAAGAAGAAAAAGAAGACAAAGACAAAGTGTATAATTATGTAAATACAATTTATCCTTATTCTTAAGAAGTACTGAAGTAATTTTGTACATTACACTAAATTATTAGCATTTGTTTTAGCATTACTTTATTTTCTGCTTCATGATCCTGTTAGCTTTACCTGAATGCTTGTTTTAAATGACAGTGGAAACTTCATTCCTCTTGAAGTGCCAGTATTCTTTGACTGTTGGTTCTTGAACTAGCAATGCCTGTGAAAAAAAAAAAGCAAAAAAACCCAGAAAACAGAACAACAAAAAAAAACTACACACAAAACCCTGAGAACTGTCTTAGGACTCTTTGGTGCATGCACAGTTGCTAACTTCCTATTTTCTTACTGATTGTGAACTTCTGTTCTGTGTGCAAACCAAACAATGAAATGATGCTCTACACATTCTAACATCCCCTACAGATCTTTGGGTCTATAAATCCCATTGGGAAAAAGGACTAGTTTGCAAAAGAGACTTTCATTTCAGCCTTTCCTTTATTTTAGACTGATTGCAATAGAGAGAGACCAGAAGCCTTTATAGTCTTCCTGTAGATTTTTGCTTCTAGGCATCTAATCTTGTAGCATTTCAGATCAACTTTAATGAATGTAAAGATAAAACTGTCAGAAAAAAAAATTTTCACCACAATTTGTCATGGTCACTCCTTAAATACTCTATTTTTTCTATAAAAACATAAAAGAAAAAATGAAAAAAAGACAACAATGCACATCTGGCAATGGAAAAAGTGAAAGTTCTAATTAGGTTGATTTGCTATTGTTAATGCATTGCTTTAAGACCTTCACTGACGTTTTGTGTCTGAAGACCTAGGTGAAATCCCCCCCAGTGTTGAACCTTTAAGTAGCTTTGTTCAGTAGGTGCAGGATTTCACCCTCAGTGTCTCTAGGAAATACTAGAAAGCCTTAACAGATAAGTTGATTCAAATTCTTAGGTTAATTCATACATGATCCCAGAATTTACCCTAAGAATTAAATCAGAATTAATCCTAAATTATATAGTGGAGTAAAACCATTCTTTTTTTTCCCCCAAGCGTGGCATTAAATATTTCCAGATGCCCATTTAATGCAAAGTAAGGGAGGAATTGTAAATTCTAGTAACATCAAATGGATGAATGAGTGAGTTGAATTTAGCTGCTTCATGCAAAGAATTTGGAAATCTACTATGCCATGGAAATGGTGTGGAATTTGCACAAACTGTCAGCATAGAACATGATTTCTGGAGTCAATGTTGTTTGTGTGATGTCTGTGAAGTACTAGTTTTGTTGCACAGGTTAAATGGTTGGTGAGTGGCATTCCAGTGTCTAGACTGTCATGAAGCTAGACCAAGATTTTTAATGTTGTCTTTCTCTGTGATTAAGTTCTGTCGTGATTTTGGTTTTTCCCCTCACCCCTGTTTAGTTTTTTTCCTGATTGGAATTAAAGCAGGATTTTTTTGCAGGAGCTTTCTTTTTTTGGTACTGCAGTAGTTACTCTGCACTGAAGTACAAGCCAGTAGTTGCGGTGTTGCCCATTCCTGTTGTCTCCCTGTGAATTGTTTGAATGTTTCACTAGAGCTTTGCTCCCTGAAGGTGCACTTCCAACTCCGCTGCAGAGGAACATTTGAAGATGTGACTCTGATGTGCTCAGAAAACAAACCACAAGACATTGAAGTAGGATAGTTCAGGACACTGGAAGGTTTGGAACAGGGAATAGCAGCACTGCCCTAACCTAAAGTATATCTAAACAATTCTGTGGGAATTTCACACAGGTTTATCAAAACTGCACAGTGTAACTTGGGCCATCTCCATGATGCCAAAGGTGCAGCTGCATGAGGGAAGTATTACTTTGCTTCTACAAAAAAAACTCCCTGAGGGATTGTTGCAGGTGGAGAGCTGCAAAGCTGGCAGGGAACACACTGTCTGGATTGCTCCATGTGCTTTCATTTCACTGTGGCTGAGAAATCCTGTCTGTGCTCCCCATTCCCCCAAATCCAGACCTCTTCCCCTCCCTTCAGCTTCGATGGGAAACAGATTATGAAATATTTTGAAAACCAGTAATGGGAGAACCTAACATTATCTTGTAAGGACCAGTAAGAACAGATTCTTATGTCACAAAATATTTCAGAGCTTCCAAGGTTCAAATGTGTTGGAGTTATGTGCACATTTTAGACACTCTTGGTGATCCATGAAGAAGTTAATGGGATGCCTTGAGCAATGGGAGTAATCTTAAGGTTACTTTGATTCTGGTAACTGAGTCACACTGCATGTCAAATTAGGGCTGGTCTGAAATTCTGACCTTAATTGGACTAAAAACAGGAGACATTTTAGCTGAAATGTCTTATCAAACATGGATTTATATAGCTCTCTATAAAGTTATATATGAATTAGTGTTGGGGTTTTTCCAGAAAATGTGATCTGTAGCTGCCAATCTAATTAAATTTAGATTAGCCCTTATTTACTTTTTTTAAAAAAACCCACATACTTGCCACTGTTGTGCAGTTTTGTCTTAATAGTGGTTGGGATTGGGTGAAGCATGTTGCATTGCAGCTTGCACGAGTTGATCTCATTATTGTCTTGCCCTGTTGGAGATGCTTTCACAGAACATACCTGGGTGCTGTCTGTCCAGAGAGAACTACTGAGTGAAATGTGAGTCACTGACCATGTGAGCACGTGTCAGGGAGTAACACCTTCTTACAGTAGCTTTATGTAACTCTGGGAAACACCTGTAGCATTGGTTCTCTCCAAACTGAATTATTTTGACCAGTTTCATTGCCCTAAAATTATTTTGCTAACTGAAGAAAAAGTCTCACTCTGTGGACTTTGCTACAACAACAGGATCTCTGCAGTGGGTAAATACTGACACACACAATCCTCTGCTCTTGTCTATACTCTGAAGCAATACAATGATTACCTTCAAAGACCATCAAACTGTAAAACAAATCATTTTTGTCTCAAGTTTACATAAAGCTACATAGATGGTAAACCTTTCCTAACATTTCTTTATTCCACTGTCTTGTGTTTTCATGTTGAAAATACTTCTGCTTTTTCCTCTTGAGTGCCAACTTCTTACTAGAATGACTTCTTAATGTAATATGTTTACCTGGAATGTATTTTAACTATTTTTGTATAGTGTAAACTGAAACATGCACATTTTGTACATTGTGCTTTATTTGATGTGGAACATATGCAGTGTGATCCAGTTTTTCCATGATTTGGTTGTGTGACCTGGGAATGTTGGTCATGCCAGACATTAAGTTAAAAAAAAAAAAAGGAAAAAAAAAAGACCACTGTTTGTTTTAAAATTTTTAATGTTTTTAGGAGTATGTGCTGTGAGGTGATCTGGAATTTGTCATTTTTTTTGTCAAACTGTACTGCTCCTATTTATTGTAATGTAATAAAAAATAGTTATTGTGAGTCTCTGTCCCAGTTTCCATTTTCTCTGCAGGAATTTCAGTGCCCTCATCCCTGGAACAGAGCAGCCCATGGATTACATGCATGTGGCTGTTTTCTCAGTTATTCCTTGTACTTCTGGTCACAAAGCTGCAAATGACCATCTTAGTACTGATTGTGCCCTGTGGAGAAAAATAGTGTGGCATTGCTGGTGTTCTTTAAAGTTGTGCTCCGGCCCTTTGTTACTGTGTCTGGATAGTCTTTTATCAATTACTGAGATTAAATTTTGTATACAGTTATTAATTCAGAACCCCAGAATCATCAAGGTTGGAAGAGACCTTTAAGAGCATCAAGTCCAACCATTAACCTGTTGCTCAGCTGTAACCCCTAAACTTTAAGCCGTATCTTCCAGCACCAGGTCCAGGTGCCTCTTAAACACTTCATGGATAGTGACTCCAGGACCTCCCTGGGCAACCCATTCCAGTGCCTGAAATGGGTGTAACTACATCATATTGCAGAGGAGTGATGTGGAAGGACTGTTTTTCACACCAGTGGGGCACTAGGAACTGAAGCACTTACATTTTGTCAGAAGGTACTGTACTCACCTGCCATGGTTTTATGGCAAAAGGACCTGAAGGTGCTGATTGACAGCAGTTGAACATGAGCCCAGGTGTGCTCAGGTGGCCAAGAAGGCCAGTGGCATCCTGGCCTGGACTAGGAACAGTGTGGCAGGACTAGGGAAGTGATCTCCCTGTCCTGGGCACTGGTGAGGCCACACCTCAAATCCTGTGTCCAATTCTGGGCCCCTCATTGCAGGGAAGGACATTAGAGTCCTGTGTGGAGAGGCTGAGGGAGCTCTGGGTGTTTAACTTGGAGAAAGGGAGGCTCAGGAGAGACCTTTATCACTCTTTACAACTACCTGAAAGGAGGTTATAGCCAGGTGGTGGTCAGGCTCTGCTCCCAGGTAAATAGTGACAGGACAAGAGGAAATTTTTAACCAACAGCCTTGGAAACGGATTTTTCTTGCCTGAATAACAATCAGTGAAACAACATTTTTGTTCCGAGCTTTGAAAGGAAGTTACCAACCTGAATTGTGGCCTGGATGGATAATTATTATGACTAAATTCTTGCTACCCTATAAAGAGTGATCCTGAGTGAGACCCTCTGAGCTCTCCTGGGCTGCAGCAGCTGTGACCAGCATCTCCAAGTGGGGCCATTCAGAGCCAGGGAACTCCCCAGTTCACTATACTTGAAGGACTAATGATGATGACAGAGCCTGGACTGACACCCCACTCCTCCAGGCTGTTGAGAAGGTGGAAAGGCATCTGATGTGAGGACTTCACTGCATTCCAGGGGTATTTATAT